ATATATAGGGGACTCTCAATGTAAACAACACCTGCTTATTGAAGCATTATGCTGTCTTTAATCCAGAGTCTTATCAACCTTCAGTAATTATTATTGTTTAATAAAGATCCAGACAAGATGCATAAAGCCTTGTATATTGCATTTGTTAGCAGTGCCCGGCTGTCCTGTTTCCAAATGACTTTATTATGATTGTGTTGATCTGAAACCTTAAATACACTACCACTGCTTGAGCATATCCTTGCTTTAATTACGCATAGTCATTTGCATGCACTAGAAGTGCCTCGACCAGGACCGTCGCACTGATTTTTATTAGGAACGTTCTTTCACAAATGACAGCAAACCTTTAATAGCCCTTTTAATTGCATCCGATAATCCCCCATGATCCTCATGTATGTGGTTATGAAGCCCGATTTTTGCTTCGGAATAGGCTCCTCACTCCTCTAATTTTCTCCTCTGAGCCTTTGTTGTTTTATTCCGAATATACAGTCATACAATTGTTCCGGAATGTCAAACACTACACATCATTTAAAAAGCTCAAAATATCTGTACCATAATTTAGAGTCATATTATTGGTTTCTAATAGACTCCCCCCGCCCCATCCCAAGTATTCTATGCTACGTAATTACAATACAAGTGAAAATCATGGTTTGGAAACAAAGACGCAACAACAAGTACTATTAAAATATACTGTCTTTTATCAGAAGCAATGATGCCATGTGCTAGTAAAACTGAAAAGGGAGTACGATTTCAGGAGAAACGTTTACATTGCAAATGAATATGGAATCATAATCAATCAAGACCATGGACAAATTGTGATGGGTTTGAGTGGATACTTTGCATCTTAAAAAAAAAAAGCATGTCAATGGCAAATTCTTTCCATTTCTCCAATGCAGTTTGAACACAAGCTACACACCCTTTGGGCTGTAACACAAACGAAACATAACAAAGTCATAATAAAGCATATTGTGCAACAAATTTATATAATCTCAATGTTGCAAACCATTTCAACCTTAACATAGAAGATCACTAATGAAGGGAATTTAAAAAAAAATTAAATGTCCAAACGTTGCACTCTGAGAAAGACGTATGAGTTGCTCAGTGTGCTAATGTTGCATTCCCTAAAATAATTTAAATTAATGTGCCATGAAATAGATCATTAACAAGGATGCATGGGCCATACGTGCAGACAGACAGATGAGGATGCTGCGGCTTCCATAAAATAGCAGACATCATTACACAAGGCCATACTCGGCAATGTTAATAACTTCAAGAGAAGAGCTCCGGTTTTATTGTGATAAATATGGGCTTCTTTTCTACAAGTGGTACAATCAATCCAATCCCACTTTTCATTGAAGCAAAATTCATTTACATGGGTCATAATAACCACATATCCAAATAGGACCAGCCAGACTCTGCTGCCTCGGTTTTTATTGGGCAGAGGTTGTCAGTTGAGTCAAGGTAGTTTCAATTTGTAGCGTCACCTCAACTAAGCTAACATGTTAAGTCAAACGACCATAGAGCTTATCATACGGCACCGTGAAGCACTATTTCCCTCCTCCTTCTCAAAGCGTATCCTTGTCAAGGATACGGTTTCTCTATTTCTAAAATATTCCCCGCATCTTATTTTACACTTGTTTGCAAGACAGAACATCAAACAAGTAAAATTGACACTCAATCGTTTTTTTAGGTGGTAGTGAAATATCCTATCTTCGACCGTCTCATCTGATAAATTCGCTGACTGGCTGGCAATTTCATTCCAGGAAAAAAAGGCTTTGTCTCGTGCATGCTAAATTCCTCTTTTAGTCTGAAGAATAAATTAAGGATGCCTTCTTCCCTCCTTTCCGTTAATTAGGGGTTGTCAGCACCCAGAGCAAGTCTGTAAGTGTTCCTTGGATCTACCAGTTCTGTAATGAGACATTTTAACCTTGAGGTTTACCAGCTGTGGTTGTGAATGGTCATCTGTCTCTATATGTGCCCCACGACCAGTTCTGGGTGGAGCCTGCCTTCCCGCCCAAATTCAGCTGGGATAGGCTGCAGCAACTCCCCGTCATCTGTAATAAATAAGGATCTTGTAAGCATTTTCTTGTAACCAACCCCGTCATGACAGTAACTTAAACAAAAGTGGAGTCAACTGTTATTCTCAACTTCTTTATATGGTTTCAGAAATAACGGCCCTCCGAGGGAAATGGGAAGTAAAATATGGCCCACGACAAAAATGAGTTTAACACCCCTGCTCTACAGGATAAGCGGTGTTGCAAATGGATGGATAGATGGTTTACCATGGTTCTTGTCTACCTTTTGCAATGCCAAAGTGAGCCGAAATAATTACAGTCTTTTCGTGTTTGGAAGTCTGTCCAAGACACAAGCGTAAGATGTGAATGCTGAAAATACGATCATCAATCAATCGCTGGCTAGGGTTCTCGCTCAGATGGTCTACTTGTATGGATGCAAAGCAACACAGATTAAAAAAAAAAAAAAAACGGACTGTTGACAAACAGCAAAGTTGTCAAAACACCCTTTTTCAGTAGTGGTGGAAAAAAAAAAAAACGATCTGTGATGATGACATGTTATGTGCTGTGACAGTGCCATGATGGAAAGTGTTGCTGAAAGACAGGAAGTGTAAATAACACACATTCTGGAACTGTGAGATCAGCCGTCACCTTCATCGCCCGATGAGGAGGTATGCAATGATCCCACCAAAGATCGAGATATTAAAAATTCTTACGTTCTAGTTGCACATTCTCACAGTATTCTGCGTTTTAATCCATAATTTAACTTCCAATCCAACAGTGACATCTCTGCAACAACCCCACGCCTGATGTGACAACAGATTTGACACAATCCTGTAACAGATGGTGACGGTATTGCCAGGAAGTGTATTCTCTCAAGTAAGGTGTGACACATTTATTGGAGCATAAACACAGAAATGGGATCACTCAAAGGTGTTCTCATACAAGACACATGAGTGCTGGACCAGAAAGTGGGTATTAAAGTTACATGAATTGCGACAGATGCAATTTCAATGTTTTAGTTGAATTGATTTTTTTGGTTCATTAAACTCATTATAATCCCTTAAGAAAAATTACATTTGCACACTGCCATATATTTTTGTGTTGCACAAGACACAGAACACACGCAAACAGATATGGAAACTCATAACTGGACACAATCGGGATTGCATCGGCCAGGTGTGCTAAACTGCTGCATAGTTCATTTTGCATGTTACGTGAATCCAAACATACTCCATGTTTGGATTCATTTGTCACATAACCTCCTGACTACCAGTAGTTCAAATTTGTCCTCTGTAGAGGACATTTGTGAACCTAAATATCTCCCACCCAGTGCCTCCAATCACATTAACTCCTTTTGTTACTCTAAAGAGGACATTCAGTGCTTTCCAATGATACCAAATTTGTAGGGGTTAGAAAAAGTAAGAAAATGGCTTCCCTCAGTGTAAGCACTTTTTATGGGAAGAGGAAAAGTAATATTTTTTATCGACCGCATTTTGTCTTGAAATGCTGTTGGCATTTTAATTATAAGACTCTTATGAACACGTTAAAGTGTTGTTTGAGTTGTTTTAAGTGTATTTGAGCCTGTTTAAAAATGTAGTGGGATTTCAAAAATTTCTTTTGGAGGAGTCCAATTACTTCACATAGATTGGGGAATGTCAAAATAAATGTGATTGGACAACATTTTTTTTCCTGGTAGTCAGGAGGATAAAGCGGGATTTATCTAACCAAAGATGCTTCATGGTGCCTAATTTTGCATATATGAATAGCATGTCTGAAGGGCAGGTACAACCCAGCACGCAAAGCGGTGACAGCGTTGCACGGGCAAAATGAGAGGCGGCAGAGGAGAGCTTGTTAACATTTTTGAAATGCCAACAAACATTATAGTGATGTCTACTCCGCAATACAATTTTTGGAGCTTCTGAATGAGCTAAGCCTTGAGGCTAGTCATAAGACTCTCACCTATGAAAATACTCCCTTCATTTCTGCATTGCCGCGTTTCCCCCTCAGTGAAACTGATCTAGAACCGCCACTGGACAATACTCCCTTCATTTCTGCATTGCCGCGTTCGCGTCTGGGTCATCTCACCGCGCTGTGACAATTGATGTTGTACTCTCCCAGGGCAGTTTTCAGGGTGTCCTGTGCCATGTTTTAATTGTAATGTTATGCAAGATGGTCACAAACCTGTACATCAAATTGCCATGTCTTTTTTAAACATGTGAATTCAACGTTTGTGTCACCTTGAAAGACTGAACACTCTTGCTCTACCAAATCAAATGGTATCTCCAAATGAATCAGCAGATTTTTTTGTACAAAAGAAAAATCATATTACTTGATTGTTAAATAATTATATTGTTAAAAAGGTAGATGATTAGTGTTAAATAATCAAAAACAACTGGAGGCATTTCAGTCAACGTGGGGTTATGCAGCATCAGGCTTAAACATATTGCGATTGATCTAACACTCCTGTTATTGCTTGCACATGTTGTCGCCCAGACTTTGATTCTTTGGTACTGAGCAATATGTGCACTCAACGTTTTTATAAACACCCTATTCACAAATCTGTTTGTCGCACTCTCTGTTAAAAGAAACATGTTATTGTTCGTGAACATCCCTAATTAGATCCAGCTATCACATGTGAATTGTTGCAAAGCCGCAGCCGAGGAAGCATTTGGGATTGGGAAAGCAGAAATGTGAAAGGATTACGTCAAACTGTTGCAAATCTTTTTCAGGGATTAGAGAGGCTTAAAGTCAGGAGAAAACCCAAGGGTGTCTTCTCAAGGTCTGTGTATGAGGTGTGTTTACTCTGGAGATGGCACACACACTGATATGCACGCCTCAAACACACATGCACCTGAGTGAGATTCGAGCAAATCATTACACTCCTGTACAGACCTGCCTTTTCACATCCTGAGCCCACATAGACTCGCAACCATATATGTTGCTGTCATTGAATCCTATGAACACATATGTTTATGTGTGTACGGCGGTCGGTCCGTTATTGAGGTGTGAATAGGACTTGGTTGCTGCCAAACGCCACCTCGGATGCCATTAATCTGTGAGATGACCCACAGGGTCAAACCCATTCTCTTGGACGTGTCCCTTATTGTAGCAGGCAGTTTAGAGGCTCATCCACAGTCAAGCTCAGTTAAAGCGTGAACAACCCGGGGGCTAATGGACAGTGCGGCCATCACATCTCGTCTACGTCTGCCTCAATGTGCCTGACAGGGAAGGCAAAGAGGTTTCAAACACAGAGCAAGAGTCAACCTGACAGCTGTCAGACTTGAAGACTAAAATGACAGACAGGACAATAGACAGGCCGAACGAATTTGCACTCGGGCATGTACCTGACGAATGCCGGATAATGATCAGCCGCATATGCACATAAACATTGGAAAGTAGTGAATTTGCATATGACTGACACACACACACACACACACACACACACACACACACACACGCCCACACGCACACGCACACGCACACACACACACACACACACACACACACACACACACACACGAAAAAGACGACGTTCCGTGGTCTTTCCCTAATGAAAACACAGCAAAGGAAATGTTTGCTATCGTAATGAATGGCAAGTTCTTATTATGAGCAGCTACAGGTATATGTCTGTGTATTCTGTGAACAGCTGTGTAAATATTAACAATAAAGTGTATACTAAACGCTACAAGCCATGTTCTATATGCATGCTATATGCTCAGTACAAATTGTATTTACCGGTAGGCACTGTCTGAATCGAGTGAGTGAGCACTGTCCAATAAGTTCTTCTGTGTGGTGTATCGCCCCTGAATTGAGTGGTGAACAATGTGAGAGGCTAATCATGCGTGACTCATGTTCTTTGGAGCTACCTGGTGTCCGCAAAGCTCATGTTGGTGATTCCCCAGGTCAGTTACTGAAACCTGAGCCAAAAAAATAGACTAATTGGGTAGTCGATAATATAAATTGCTATTGCAACTGAATTTGCTGAGCAAATCAGTATGACGTGTGAGTTGAAATGCAAATCTTATTAATGAGAATGAATTGAATATCAAAACTAACACATTTTACAATGAATCACTTTGCTACAACAACTTTTGTGAACCATCGCCTTCTCCGTAAAAAGATGTTGGAGCTGACAAATGAACTTGGAACTTGCAGACCTCATTGGAGCCCTTCTGAAAGATCGGCGCTTCTTTGTTGTATAAAACAACAAGCACAGCCGTTGGCGAGTACAATGAAATGGCGTACCTCAAAGCAGTGTCCTGGCCCCTCTTCTGTACTGTATAACATTTACACCAACAACCAGCCAAGAGACCGTTTCTTTTATGCCAATGACCTTGGTATAACATCCCAAGAGAGTATGTTTGAAGCAGTGGAAGCCAACCCCACCCCAGTCTTAGACGAGCTCCTTACTATCAGCAAAACGAACTGCATCCCAACACAAAAACCAAAGTCTGCTCGTTTCACCTCAGGAACCGTGAGGCCAACCAACCTCTGCACATCACATTTTCTGGAAAATACTTGAGCACTGCTTCAACCCAATCTATCTCTGTGTCTCCCTGGACCACTCACTCTTCTACAAGAACCACATCGGCAATGCCAAATCCAAAGTTGAGACCCCCAATAACATCCTATGGAAATTGACAAATTAAAAATGGGGTCCCATAGCATCCATCCTAAGAACAAATTTTCTTGCCCCGTGCTATTTATCAGCAGAATATGTCCGGCCTGTCTGGGAGAGCTCGGCCCACGCGAAGAAATTAGACCCAGCACTGAACAACACCTGCTGCCTGATCGCTGGATGCCTGAAACCCACTAACACAAACATTTGGTCACATCACCTTGGTAGTATTGCCCCTCCCAAAGAGCCAAGTTGAGAAGACAAAGGCCTCAACAGTTAAATGCCACAATTTTAATGGACGCATTCTCATGACACAATAACAAAAGTGAAGAAAGAGGTTTTTTTAACCATGTCCAAGACCTAACAACATCCTGGGAAGAAATCAGACTCCAGCTCTGATTGGAAATGCTCCAAAAGCAACCCCCACCAGTTGGCATGCACACACCACCTGCTGAGGAACTCTCTCCTGGCTCAGGCGCACCATGGAACCAATGGAAAACCCTGAGCTGCCTAAGGACAAGAGCAGGATGATCCTGGTTTGCTTTAATTAAGCAAATGTGGCTGCACCAACAATCTGTGACTCCAAATCACATGCAAAGATCTGTATGATGAAATGGGAGACTGCTATATAACACGACTTTGAAGATACAAAAAGAACAACTTTTGCCCCTTATAGGCCATACCGTACTTGCGAGTCACGGTTATGAGGTCCAGACCTCACAGCCAATGTCCATACAGAACATAACATGTTTTTCAATACCGCAGTGGTTGGAATTTATTCTTCAATTTGTAATATCAGCACCCTGTCTGTATTTTATACTCGATGGCCACATGAGGCAAAATGTACTGCATCACTCTCTGCTTATGGGACAACATTACTGCCTTCAAAATAGTCTCAAATCACCAATGTACCGCTCCCAAATTTGTTTTGCAGTGTTTCTTATGTCTCCTTCCAATATAACGATGCTGGTACAATTTGTGTAGCATTGGGAAAAGCATTCCTTTTCCAAAAGCCGTCCCTGATAAAGACAGATGGTGTCAATTTCAAAGGTCCCATGGAAGTGTGTTATTTCTGGTGTTTACAACCCACACAGCCACAGAAACATGCTGGGAAACACACACTTGGGCAGATGTATATTGTACGCTCATTTGTATCCAGGTCTGTGGGTGTGCTTGCAAAAGCCATACATATACACGTCATGTGGAAATTAACACAACATGAACGTGCTATACAGGTATGAGATGTGAGACACAACCA